GTAGTCCTGAGCAAGATAGCTTGGTCAATAAAGGATTTATTATATGGCTTTCGGGGAAATTTTTCTTGCGGGACCCAGCGGGTAGTCCTGGGCAAGATAGCTCCATCTTGCCCGCTCGGGTAGCCAATCACAGCGCAGGATTTGATTCATCTTGCCTACTCACGGCGTTAGCCATATAATAATTTATATTATCTGAAATAATGTGAAAGGGTGTATGGACATTTCAGGACAAAGGAAGTGGAAGGACAACACTGAATATCTGGAAGAAACATCTTAGTGAGTTTGACGTCAGTGGAATACCTATCTTGGTTGCTGGGGACGCCGTTTCTAGATCCGTGTACTCCTAATACTAATCACGAAGAGGAAAATGTGGGCACGACATGCCTACCAGACCACCCAAGATTACCTACTCACACGATCTCCGAACACCTAGATTTGCGCGCGCACAACACACATGCATCTCCATTTCCACGCAAAACACATATAAGCCAAATTTAAGGGTTTCCATACCCAAAGAGCTTATCGCGGACGCACAATTTCTCGCTGAGGTCTACTTCCTAAAATTGAGGAGGTAGGTTTTTTAAGCCACCTTTGTTAGGTTGCACTTTTTCTTTGCTATCGGCTTTTGCAATTGTTCTCAAAGAAACAATTATAGCATAGAATTTTGAACTAAGAAATAAGCGGGCGTACTTTGCCTTAAAATCACTAGGCCTGATTGATTTTTTTCCCTTGCTGTTACCGAAAACGTCCACTGACCAGGCGTCCTTTTAGGGGATTCTCCTCAATCAACTCAAATGAATTACATTCGGTCGACTACATAAGGCGATGGCGTTGTTACCATCTAAGACAGACTATTCTCAATGCCATCATAGAAGAATTAAATGCGTTTTTTTCTGTATGATTATGTACGAGGTACAGCGTTATAATTTTTTACCATATAGGAAAACGACTAGTTATCTAAACGTCATGAGACTTTTCACCATCGGTCAACATTTGTCCATGATGGAATAAATCAAAAAAAGGAAAGGCTCTATCTCCCTAACAGGAAGCGGCAAAGCTGTCAAAATGGAGGTAAATAAATCATCAGCACAAGTGAAATATTTGGCAAGAATTTCTTCGTGTCGAAGAACATCGAGAAATATATGTATGAGAAGATATTATTTATACTGCATATTCCGTTAAATCGAAAGGGAAAAATCAAACCAGTCATAACTTACAGTACAGACCTCGAACACGGTCACTAGGAGGTATGTAATCATGGAACCTTGTTACTTATCATGTACGTGTGTAGTTTTGGATTCGAAGTCATCTTTATTTTAAATAACCAACCTAATCCAACAACCAAAAATTCTCCAACCAATGGTTTAAAAATTTAAAATCCATAGTACATTGTACTACGTGGTGTACGGACATAAATGTTTATAGCGTTAGTCCATATTGTTTATATTTGAAGTATTGTTAAGTGTCTTGAAGCCATCACTTCAAACCATTTAACCTTAGATGTATGTGCGCCGTTTGCATAGAAATAATTTCGCTCTTTTCCTTGCCATGTCGACCTTCGTGAGAAATTACGATCTAAAAAGTAATTATGGAGATATGGATGTTTTTTCAAGCAAGAAGGATGCAGGTGCCTACCTCCAACAATTGTGTTCAGTAAACCTTTCACTGACACAGCAGCCACTTCTAAACAAACGAGAACAACCCAATTCCCATTTTAAATTACGCAAACACACACAAACAAAAAAATGAAAAATAATAACAGTTATCTTGCAGCATAAGGCCTTGTGATATTACTGGTGTTATGAAAGTTATTTAAAAGACAATGTTTAAGGGAGGGACTGGTATGATTTAATATATGACCAGTTACAATACAAGTTAAGAAAGAAAAAAATGAGCTTTGGTTTGTCTTTAAATTTTCTTTATATATTGCACTCAGAATAGCAATTAAGATTGTGATTTTTCAATAAAAAAGGAGGCAGGAATCAACCTTCAGTATATAGTCTAACAGCATTAATTTTTATCAGCGATTTCTTTTCCCTGTTAAATTGCAATTGCAAATTCGATCAATCATATTAAATTCTAAATAAATGCGAACAAAGGGTTTTCTTTTAATTTAACCGAATAGATAATTAAAAAGCACGGATAGTTTGATCATGTGGGGCTTCGCAGTATTTTTGATGCTTTGACAAAGATAAAAACAAAGGCAAAGAAAAAGAAAACAAACAAACAAAAAAAGAAAAAAAAGAAAGAAAAGAAAGAAAAACAACAACAACAACAACAAAACATAAAAGCGCTCGCTATGACTTATGGCTTATAACAATGCCATGACAAAACAACAAAAAAATAATAATAATTCAGAGTCCTCTGTCTTTCTGATAGATAAAGTACGGTCAGGCTACTAGTAAAACATGAGTTATGAAAGCGTCTAATAACTGTTGATTCATGGTCAAGAAAGGACCCTCTCCTGTTTATGATGGAATAAGCTAGAAAGCCAGGGCCTTCTTTTCTTCAATCAGAAGCAGAAATAGTAAGCTGCCACAAGGTTAGGTTACCATAGATAAAATAGCACACGAACCGTTACTATAGGAAGAGAGCAACTTCGAGAACGTTGAGAAAATGTCCACTGCATAAACTGTTTCTGCTATAAATCAACAGCAGTCATAGCCTAAAGGGCCTCTAACCGAAAGTGAAATATTTTAGCTCAGTCATATTTAATGGAATAGATCACGTCTTAGTCATGCTTCTCAAAACTCAAACTTTTTGGAGCGCTTCTGACAACGCCTGGAATGGAAATCCTTAATGAAAATGTACGAGCCATAAATCTTCTCAGTCTAGAAGTATGATTAATTATCACTGTTACATACATTCTTTTTGCTGACAGCTTTAAATGAATACTATTCTCAAACATATTTCACCTCATTCTTTTTCACAGGCTTAAGCTCGCAGCAAACTCGTTAAAATGGAAATTGCCAGCAAGGGAATACTTCTGTGGACTGCAATTTTTGCATTGGAAATGCTTATCGCTCTTGCGGGAAATGCTATAGCCATCGCTGCGTTCTGGAAGCAAAGATCAACCCTCAAACGAACTTGTTACCTCTTGATAAACCTTTCAGTTGCTGATCTTTTGGTTGGTATTGGAGAAATCATACACCTATATAATAACATTTTCTACCTTCAAAATTCTAAACCAGCAATCTGGGAAAACATTTTGATTTTGCCGGATGTCTTTGCGGGTTCGGCTTCTTTATTGTTCTTAACTCTCATCTCCATGGAAAGGTTGTACGCCATTGCATGGCCTTTCCAGCACAGAGCGACAAATACAAGAGTTTACTTTTACTTGATTGCCGTCACATGGACTTTGGCGACTGCGATAGCGCTCATTTTTCTTTGCAGTCTGGTATTGGAAATCACCAGCTTGATAATTACTACCCCGATCTCAGCATCTGCTTTAAGTCTCTGTTTGGTTGTTGTTTTATGTTCGTACTTGGCAATATGGAGATGCAAAAGAAATGAGGTTCCGGGGATACCTATAGACAGACGCCAACAAAACAAGAAGCTTGCAGTGACTTTGTCTATTGTAACTTTCTTGTCAGTGCTGACATGGTTGCCATTAACAGTGTGTATTATAATAATCACAATAATTGGAATGCACAAGTTTCCGAATTGGCTTTATAACATTGCAAGATTGCTTCAGCTAGCAAACTCATCGATAAATCCCATAGTTTACTACGCCAGAATGCCTGAGTTTAGAAAACAGCTCAGGAATATTATTCTGAGGCACAAATCTCATAAAGAGCAGGGAGGTAGTCAGCTTCCGAACATACCTATGCGGGGAGATGTTTCCACACCTGTCCTTTTATCTTTTTCTACACTTAACAAGACTATTTGATTAGTAAGACTTTCAGACATTCGTCGTAATTTCGTACCTTTTGCGTCTCATCCCTTCCTTTATCATAAGTGTTAGCAGTCTACACGTTCTTATGACATGGATAGCTCACTATCCTCGTCAATGTTTCTGTCGTTGCTATTTTTGGTCATAATAATGAATTCTATGATAGAGCGTCTTCCAAACAAAAAGACTCCCCGCATCAGTCCCAGTTGCAAGCTAGTTTCAGTCCAATATGGAAAATACGAATGCGGCTTATCTTTAAGAAGAGAAAAATGTTGGGTAATTTATTGATGAGAAGGAAGTACTTTCAAAGCCGGGCTACGGACGTTTGACGATAAAAAAGGGGTAATGTTTATCTTGAAAATGTTCATGAATGTTTTAATATTCGTCATAGAAAAGGAAAAAACATTAAGACGAAATCCGGTAGGATTTTAAGTATTTTCAGTTTTAAAAATCTTGTACCAGAAGTATAAGTATATTGAAGTCCTTTTTGCAGTTTCTAGAAGCTTAAGTTATACGTAATTGCCTGAAATAACAGCAAAAACAATTTCCCATAGGAACTCGAAAAACTAAATTTAAAAGTTCAGAAAACAAACACAAGGAAAATATCATCATCAGTTTCATTTCACCAGTACTTTCAATTGTTTCATATGAACTTAAAAATTTGTTTTCGACATTTGCCGGTGTTATCGAAAATGATTTCTATTGAGAAGATATTTAAAATAGTCGACCAGAAGTTTGCAATATAATGCAAATAATCTAGGTACTAAGTTTTTTTCCACTTGTTACTCGAACTTGTGGTGGGTTCCCTTTTAACCTATCACAGCAAGGTCCTGAAGCTATTTCTTTTGACAACATATTAATACTGAAGAGGTTCACCTTGCAAGTGCTGATTGCAATTATTTTTTGGGATGCCATCACCGGCTTAAACAAATGTCATCTTCTCGATGCACGGTTTGCTGTAGTTCCAATCGAAGAAAGCCTCAAATTATTTAACTACTAAGGTAAGAAAGAAAGCCAAAACGAATAAGTAGGTGCAATAAAAGCAGAAAGTGTTTTCTTTGCTGGAGCTTGCATGGATGATTTAATCTTAATTAATTTTAATTTCAAGCTTAAAAATTACTAACTTAATTTTTTTGTGGTGATGTTGATAATAAAATTCAGTGCAATAACAACCTCTAAACAAAGTGATTATTCTTGTAATTATACTCAAAGGAGTAAAAAATAATTAACAAGGAGTTTTAATTTTATTACTATAGCCTCGAGTTCTAGCTATAAACAATATTGTAATAAATGAGAATAAAAGACGCTTCATGAACATGGCAGCTGGTGTTTTGAACGAAAAATCCGTTTATTTTGAAGGAATGATTCCAAGTTCGTCATATCTAAAGCATTAAGAATTAAAAAGAATAATAACCTCGGACCAAAGTGCTTTTTAGAATTGGTTTCAAGGCATTGCAAAATAGTAACAATGGTGCCGTATATCGCCACAACAATTTGTGTCAGATCGAGTGACTACTTCTCTTGAAACCGAAACTACTCATCCCAGGCGAGAAAAAGAATTTGGAAGAGGAAATTTGCCTTTCTTTTGTAAACAAATGCTACATGTGGTTGAACAGTAGCTTCAGAACACAACTCTCTTCAGGGTGCGACGAAGGTTATCAATAGCGCTCTAATTAAGGGCGGGCCGCACTCTTAAAAAATGTCAACAAATTCGTGCTCGATGGAGTTCTGNAGGTCAAGATGGCTGGATATTGGCCAAGTTCTTTTTTTGCGTGTTTATGGACCGAGACGGAGTCGAGCTCCATAAACACGCAAAAAAAAAAGAACGAGGCCAATATCCAGCCATCTTGACCGAACAAGCTTGGTCAATAAAGGATTTATTATATGGCTTTCGGGGAAATTTTTCTTGCGGGACCCAGCGAGTAGTCCTGAGCAAGATAGCTTGGTCAATAAAGGATTTATTATATGGCTTTCGGGGAAATTTTTCTTGCGGGACCCAGCGGGTAGTCCTGGGCAAGATAGCTCCATCTTGCCCGCTCGGGTAGCCAATCACAGCGCAGGATTTGATTCATCTTGCCTACTCACGGCGTTAGCCATATAATAATTTATATTATCTGAAATAATGTGAAAGGGTGTATGGACATTTCAGGACAAAGGAAGTGGAAGGACAACACTGAATATCTGGAAGAAACATCTTAGTGAGTTTGACGTCAGTGGAATACCTATCTTGGTTGCTGGGGACGCCGTTTCTAGATCCGTGTACTCCTAATACTAATCACGAAGAGGAAAATGTGGGCACGACATGCCTACCAGACCACCCAAGATTACCTACTCACACGATCTCCGAACACCTAGATTTGCGCGCGCACAACACACATGCATCTCCATTTCCACGCAAAACACATATAAGCCAAATTTAAGGGTTTCCATACCCAAAGAGCTTATCGCGGACGCACAATTTCTCGCTGAGGTCTACTTCCTAAAATTGAGGAGGTAGGTTTTTTAAGCCACCTTTGTTAGGTTGCACTTTTTCTTTGCTATCGGCTTTTGCAATTGTTCTCAAAGAAACAATTATAGCATAGAATTTTGAACTAAGAAATAAGCGGGCGTACTTTGCCTTAAAATCACTAGGCCTGATTGATTTTTTTCCCTTGCTGTTACCGAAAACGTCCACTGACCAGGCGTCCTTTTAGGGGATTCTCCTCAATCAACTCAAATGAATTACATTCGGTCGACTACATAAGGCGATGGCGTTGTTACCATCTAAGACAGACTATTCTCAATGCCATCATAGAAGAATTAAATGCGTTTTTTTCTGTATGATTATGTACGAGGTACAGCGTTATAATTTTTTACCATATAGGAAAACGACTAGTTATCTAAACGTCATGAGACTTTTCACCATCGGTCAACATTTGTCCATGATGGAATAAATCAAAAAAAGGAAAGGCTCTATCTCCCTAACAGGAAGCGGCAAAGCTGTCAAAATGGAGGTAAATAAATCATCAGCACAAGTGAAATATTTGGCAAGAATTTCTTCGTGTCGAAGAACATCGAGAAATATATGTATGAGAAGATATTATTTATACTGCATATTCCGTTAAATCGAAAGGGAAAAAACAAACCAGTCATAACTTACAGTACAGACCTCGAACACGGTCACTAGGAGGTATGTAATCATGGAACCTTGTTACTTATCATGTACGTGTGTAGTTTTGGATTCGAAGTCATCTTTATTTTAAATAACCAACCTAATCCAACAACCAAAAATTCTCCAACCAATGGTTTAAAAATTTAAAATCCATAGTACATTGTACTACGTGGTGTACGGACATAAATGTTTATAGCGTTAGTCCATATTGTTTATATTTGAAGTATTGTTAAGTGTCTTGAAGCCATCACTTCAAACCATTTAACCTTAGATGTATGTGCGCCGTTTGCATAGAAATAATTTCGCTCTTTTCCTTGCCATGTCGACCTTCGTGAGAAATTACGATCTAAAAAGTAATTATGGAGATATGGATGTTTTTTCAAGCAAGAAGGATGCAGGTGCCTACCTCCAACAATTGTGTTCAATAAACCTTTCACTGACACAGCAGCCACTTCTAAACAAACGAGAACAACCCAATTCCCATTTTAAATTACGCAAACACACACAAACAAAAAAATGAAAAATAATAACAGTTATCTTGCAGCATAAGGCCTTGTGATATTACTGGTGTTATGAAAGTTATTTAAAAGACAATGTTTAAGGGAGGGACTGGTATGATTTAATATATGACCAGTTACAATACAAGTTAAGAAAGAAAAAAATGAGCTTCGGTTTGTCTTTAAATTTTCTTTATATATTGCACTCAGAAAAGCAATTAAGATTGTGATTTTTCAATAAAAAAGGAGGCAGGAATCAACCTTCAGTATATAGTCTAACAGCATTAATTTTTATCAGCGATTTCTTTTCCCTGTTAAATTGCAATTGCAAATTCGATCAATCATATTGAATTCTAAATATATGCGAACAAAGGGTTTTCTTTTAATTTAATCGAATAGATAATTAAAAAGCACGGATAGTTTGATCATGTGGGGCTTCGCAGTATTTTTGATGCTTTGACAAAGATAAAAACAAAGGCAAAGAAAAAGAAAACAAACAAACAAAAAAAGAAAAAATAGAAAGAAAAGAAAGAAAAACAAAAACAACAACAAAACATAAAAGCGCTCGCTATGACTTATGGCTTATAACAACGCCATGACAAAACAACAAAAAAATAATGATAATTCAGAGTCCTCTGTCTTTCTGATAGATAAGGTACGGTCAGGCTACTAGTAAAACATGAGTTATGAAAGCGTCTAATAACTGTTGATTCATGGTCAAGAAAGGACCCTCTCCTGTTTATGATGGAATAAGCTAGAAAGCCAGGGCCTTCTTTTCTTCAATCAGAAGCAGAAATAGTAAGCTGCCACAAGGTTAGGTTACCATAGATAAAATAGCACACGAACCGTTACTATAGGAAGAGAGCAACTTCGAGAACGTTGAGAAAATGTCCACTGCATAAACTGTTTCTGCTATAAATCAACAGCAGTCATAGCCTAAAGGGCCTCTAACCGAAAGTGAAATATTTTAGCTCAGTCGTATTTAATGGAATAGATCACGTCTTAGTCATGCTTCTCAAAACTCAAACTTTTTGGAGCGCTTCTGACAACGCCTGGAATGGAAATCCTTAATGAAAATGTACGAGCCATAAATCTTCTCAGTCTAGAAGTATGATTAATTATCACTGTTACATACATTCTTTTTGCTGACAGCTTTAAATGAATACTATTCTCAAACATATTTCACCTCATTCTTTTTCACAGGCTTAAGCTCGCAGCAAACTCGTTAAAATGGAAATTGCCAGCAAGGGAATACTTCTGTGGACTGCAATTTTTGCATTGGAAATGCTTATCGCTCTTGCGGGAAATGCTATAGCCATCGCTGCGTTCTGGAAGCAAAGATCAACCCTCAAACGAACTTGTTACCTCTTGATAAACCTTTCAGTTGCTGATCTTTTGGTTGGTATTGGAGAAATCATACACCTATATAATAACATTTTCTACCTTCAAAATTCTAAACCAGCAATCTGGGAAAACATTTTGATTTTGCCGGATGTCTTTGCGGGTTCGGCTTCTTTATTGTTCTTAACTCTCATCTCCATGGAAAGGTTGTACGCCATTGCATGGCCTTTCCAGCACAGAGCGACAAATACAAGAGTTTACTTTTACTTGATTGCCGTCACATGGACTTTGGCGACTGCGATAGCGCTCATTTTTCTTTGCAGTCTGGTATTGGAAATCACCAGCTTGATAATTACTACCCCGATCTCAGCATCTGCTTTAAGTCTCTGTTTGGTTGTTGTTTTATGTTCGTACTTGGCAATATGGAGATGCAAAAGAAATGAGGTTCCGGGGATACCTATAGACAGACGCCAACAAAACAAGAAGCTTGCAGTGACTTTGTCTATTGTAACTTTCTTGTCAGTGCTGACATGGTTGCCATTAACAGTGTGTAT